TAATTTCTTCTGCTTCATTTTATACTGGAGAGCTGCAGTTTCAAAGTCACCCAAGCAACATATCTGAAGACCTTCCAAATCTACAAATGACTAGGTTTCTAGGCATGAGATGCACGGAAAAGGACTGTGAGACCCATGGAACTTTGTTTTTATATTTGATAACAGTAATGAGACTGTTATAAGCACAGTGGTGGAAGGATTTGACATTGCCTACAGTGGGAGAATGGATGGTGAAATTGATGGAGATGGCTGAGATGGTGAAACTGATAGCTTTGATTAAAGACATTGATTAATTTTAATGCTGACTGGAAACCCTTTTTGGACTTTTTGCGTGAAACGAAAAAAAATGAAATCATGATATATGGATTTGACGATTAGAAATAATGGTAGAAAATAGAAAAAAAATGAAAGTATGTTGTAAACTTAGAGTAAGAGCTTAAAGCAAATTTATACTTATATCTGTTGTAAAAGAACATTGGAAGTCATTTTTCATTTGTATTTCTTTTTCTTTCTGCACTTTTGACTTGGTTGTCTTTTTCACTCCTTACCTTTTTCTCTCCTCTACTTTCTATCTTAATTATTAGTTGTTAGTTTTTTATCTTTTTATCTTAACATCTAATAAAGTTATTTGAAAAAAAGAGAAAAGGATTGTGAGAACCTGTTCCACAGATTATCCCCAAATCTTTCCCACAGTTGTGTAATCCCAAACAATGTATTCCCAAACAATGGGATTACACAAAGCCTGATATTACTTCCAAGGAGGACCCAACCTGGCAGTAGCCATCTTGGGTCTGTTAACAGAGCTTTCCTCATTCCTGATGGTAGTGCTCTTAACCCTTTGCTGAGTCAGTAGAAAACCATGCTGGCCTGAAAGGTTCTGTCAATTCCTAGCCTGACTCTATTGCTTTTTTCCCCAGTGAGTGCAATCCCCTGGTTTCCCATCCAAAGTCATGGATGAGATGCTGTACACCTTGAAGTGCCATGTGGTTGGAAGAAAGGGGAAAATGCTATTTGATTAAGTCTGTTTCATTCATGGGGACAAAGGGAAGGCAATGCCATAGGGACATGGTGGAAAAAGATGTCACCCCTACAACTTAGTCCAGATTGGGAAATAACTCCACAAGAAGGCTAGAACTATAGTAAGATAAGCTGTAGCAAAAGAACCTTGGAAATCTGCCTCCCTTTTCCCTTCCCTCCCTCTTATACCCCATGGAGTCAGTCCTTGGGCTTAACACATGTTTCTTCTGCACTTGGTATTTCCCTAACAGCTTCTGGATGGCTTTCCAAGGACATCTCCATGGCACCCACAAAAGAAGATTGCCAGGGCGTGCTTGGGTTATGTAGAGAGAGACCCAGCATCTTTCTAGTATCCATAACCTGGAACTTACCCTGCTTAGGACATCATAAATGACAGAATAAGGCCATTGGAATGTGGCCACTAAGTCTTTGCAAGTAAGTCCTTACCAGTCTGGCTCTCCAGCAAGTTTGACATGGTACTGGTAAGTTCCTAAATACTCTAGACCAGGATTCCTTAACCTTAACAACTTTAAGATGTGTGGACTTCCATTTCCAGAATTCCCCAGCCAGCCTTGCTGGCTGGGGACTTCTGGGAGTGGAAGTCCATACATCTTAGAGTTGACAAGGTTGAGAAACACTGTCTAGACATTGGGATCATCTAAGAACTCTGTCCTAGGATACTAACCAGAAACTGTTTTGCAAACCTTGCTAAATTAGAAATGGGTAACAAGTATCAGCAGTTTTGTGTTTGACCAAAGAAAAAAAGAAAAATAGAGCCACTTATATTTAAAACAGGAGCTCTTCATGAATACTGATAAACCTTAACCACAGGCGATAAGCAATATGCTGCAAGTCTGTTCAGTGAAAAGGCCTTAAATTCTTTATAACAGGCCAATGAACAAAACATCTGTTTTCCAAGGTTCCAAGGACTTGTAACTTGTGGCCAAATAAAAGTAAGATAGAGAAGATTCAATATAACCCAAATCAATAGCATCTTGTTACTACTTTTAGGTCCATATAATCTATTTTTCTTTATAGGACAGTTACTCTCTTGTAAGTATAGTATTGTATTCATCTTTGTCAACGTGAACTACAACTCCCATCAGTCTTGGGCAGCAGCAGTAGTCATAGAAGATACGGGCAACCACAGTTTGGCCACACCTGGAGAGTCACAGGTTCTTCATCTCTTCTATAAAGGAGATCATCCCAGCCTAGAACACTTAAAAAAAAAAAAATTGGAAGGTTGATTTTCTTTGCTACTTGTGGTTATGATATGTGGGTTCATTCTTTCATTATGCTGTTGTCTTTTTTTTCCCCCTAGTGATAAGGTTATAAAATGTATGGTGACTCCAGGGGAAGTTTTGGGAGACGGTAGAACTTTCTTCTTATCTTCCAGATCACAAGATGCTTCACAAAGGCAAATCAAAGAATGGTTATAATGTGGATCTTGGGGAACAGAAGAGAATGGTGCCTGGAGCACTAGCAGAAGTATAATTTAGAAGTAATGCTGTTCTCAGACAGACTGGGAAAAAAAGCGCTCACTTCTGATTTAATGATTTGGAATTATCATGTTTCCCGTGCTTGCTCTCCCAAATCCTTCCCCTTTCCCAGGAAACAAAGGAAATCTCTGACTATCCATTTTGACTGAACACATTTCTCCTTATATATACTGTGGTTTGATCCTAATTTATTGCAATTAATTAGAATTAGTTGGTCTATAATGGGAAACAATGTGGGTCAAAAATGAGAGCATTCTGTAAGAGGGGTGGGATGATAAATAAAAGGGAATGTGATGACTAAAAGCTGGTTAAAGATGGTTACAGTAATTGAATCATAGCCTGGATTAGATAAATTTCATATGGTCTTCTGAATCTGGTCATTGTGGCTACAGAGTGATATTTCACTGTTAGTCAGGAATGGACCTTCTCAACCATCTTGTGATGCCACCAGGAATGACCCACCACCATCTGCTCTCTGGACAGAAGAGGTGCAAATGTGCAGCTTCTTATTATACTCTCTAGTTCATGGGCATGATATGTGAATCTTAGGAACCATTTTATTAAAATGATAATTTAAAATCCATATCTCAAATAGTACCCCTTTTCTAGGAAAAAACTCCAATCCTGATGTATGAATTTGGTTGAGAAGCTCAAGGAATAAATCCATATATTTCTTTGCAAATATAACTCCTTGGAATTTTGTTCTTTACCCATAATAATGAACCCTAAAATTCCCAAGAGGAAGTCTGACTGTGAAATGACGTAATGTCAGCAGGGATATCCACAGATATGGTAAAACAAAGTCAAGATGGCAGCCACAATGATGCACTCCAAGCCCCACCAGTTTTTTGTGTATGTTGCACATGCATCGCATATATAAGACAGAGCTTTGATCACACCATTGTGGCTGCCATCTTGACTTTTTTATTATACCATGAAGGCATCCTGAATATTAGTAACTTGGAATCCCAAAATGGGTAAGGTGTATTTTCAAAGGCCATATTAGTACAAAATTCACACTACCGAACTTCCAAAATGCGGGTTTGAACTAGATCTGAGGACCAACTATAGAAGATGGAAGCTCTGTTTGTGTTTGGCCAATGAGGCATAATCTTTCATTGCATTGGCCAATAACTACCAATCAGCGAACAGCCTCTGACTTCAAACAAAATCAAAATGGCAGTCCTCACATTTATGCAATCTTCCTGATGTGGGAAGAAGCTAAAAAGAACTGGGCAGAAATTTGGGTATCTTTAGAAAACTTGCACGAATTGTTGGGGTGATGGTGTCCCTTTTGGAACAAAGTATTTGGGAGAGATTCTTCACATAATCTTACACTCTTTAATTTCTGTTACCGTACTTTATACTTCTGACAGAGAACACAAAATATACCATTTCTGGCCTGTCAGCCCCATGGGGTCTCCCCAGAAGATTTGTTTAGCTCTTGGGATGGCCCTGAAACTTGGTGGCCCATTTGCTGTGAAAATTGGACAATGTTTGAAAAGTGTACTACTGCTAGAGTTAAGTGTGAATCAGTCTCTGAAAAACATCTGGGGAAAGACATTTTGGGTTAGGAATCTCAAATGAACAACATGATTTTCAATAAGCCATAGAATAATAACTGGTTGATCAGCAAATTGGTTTAATGGTGTCAGATACGTGTGTACTGTGCGCTAAAATTCAGCATTCAGATGAGCCAGTCCCGCACCAAGACCGATTGGACAACGCGAGTGATAAAAATAGTGCAAATTGGGCACATTTGCATCATGTTCTGAACGTGTATTGTTTATATGGTTTTGTTGGTCATGGTGAAAGCAAGGAGCTCTCAAGGATGCGAGAACTTCACCTCTACCTCCTTGATCCCTAGAAACCTGGATTATGAGTTGTTTTAACAGCCATCACTCCCTCCAAACATATTTCTTTGCGATAAAAACTAGAATCTTTGGGTATTTCTTTTTAAAAAAATAGGAAAGCTATGATTCACAGCAAGTTGTACGTTGTGCCTTCTTCCACATCCAGCACCTTCTCTCTACTTCTACAAAACAGGAGTCGTAGGCCCAGCCTGACAATAAGTTATGCTAGTTTGGTATTTCTTCTGACATCATGTCTTCACCCTGTGAACCAGGAAAAATACAAAACGTGGTTGAAGTTGCCATGTATGAAATCTTCTGGTCTCCAGTCAAACAAAGTGCAGGACCAGCAGTGCAGAAGCAGGATGGCCGTTCTGCTCCAGCCATTCTCACTGCCTCCAACCAGCACAACTTTGCAACCGAGAGCTCATGGTTTGCCCCCAGGTATCACAGGACCTCTTGTCCAAAACTGTTGTGTGGCCGCCAACCCTTGATCTTTGGTGGAAAGTCCTCTGTCCTTTGCAAACGGCTGTGGGGATGCCAGGTGTGGGAGTTGAATGGCCAACAGCTTTATTGGCTCCACTGTGCTGCAAAGACCCTTGTGTTGTGGTGTTCTTGGCTCGGCAGAAAGCCCTCACTGAGATGCCACAACTTGTGGAAGGGTTGCATTGTGCTGGAGGCCATTCATGGAAAGAGGAGGAGGAGGAGGGGGCGGGGGTGGGGGTGGAAACAAAGTGCCAGCCATTTCTGAGTGAGTCTGTGGGTCACGAATTGGGATAGGGCTCATGGAACCAGAGTCACTCTGGATGGAGCCCAGGCTGTTGCCATCAAAACTGGTCATTTTCTTCTTCATTAGTTTCCTTTCTTTGGCTCTGCGATTTTGGAACCAGATTTTCACCTGCAAGAGCAAAGCAGGAGGGAAAAAGAGTTTCCATTACTTAGCATTGGGAGCCTTAGAGATAAGGAAAGCCTACAGGAATCATTTCTTCTTGACTCAACATTCCTTAGTTAAACTAGACTTTAGGAGGCAAGTCGAGAGCAGTGTTATGGAGCCAACAGTAGAGATCACCCAAAGAGATCCCTGCAGAGAGAGATACTTGACTGAGGCACCTTGCTCTGGGCTACCCTGGGTGAAATCCACCATTCACTTCATCCTGTGCTGATGAAATCTCCTTGCTCCCTATAGGAAGGCATTGCAAAAGTATTCCATCTTTTCTTACCTAGCCTTTCAAATGAATGAATGAATGAATGAATGAATGAATGAATGAATGAATGAATGAACCTGCAGTGAAACATGGGAACATTATAAAAGAAAGACAGTCGTTAAGATCTACTCTATAATTCCATGAACCTTGATTGAACCCCTGCAGATGACATCTTCCACAGTCGGATCGCTTTGTCGAGCATCACCAATGCTATTTTCGTTATTAGTAAGATTTCATTGGCACTTAATTTTAGGTAACAGGGCTAGGAGCGCTAAAGGATTTCTCTGCTATGGTGCAGAAGCATGTAATGGTTTCAATGCCACTTGTAGGGTTATTGCACCAGGAAAAAAACTTGAATCTAAATGCTTAGTTTGTATCTCTGAAATATTAGTTTGGAGAGTGGCAAGGATTTCTGACTTCCATGACAAATAGAGTAGCAAGTGCTCTTGTTTGTAAAGTATGAAAATTGTCTGCCCGATAAGAATTGGTACGATCTTTTTTTTGAAAGGATCCTGAAAGTCCTACTGTTTCTTCACTTCTATATGTAGGAATGCTGTATTCCTTTTAATTCACAGTAGAAATTCAGTTGATTAGACACAATTCAGCAGAGTGTGTGTGTTTCAGGAAAGGGCTACCCATGTAAGCACTGGCGTTCACAAGGAAGAGTCAAGAAAGTCAAGATGGTGCCTCTGACTGCCCAAAGCCCCATACTTTGTTTACATGCGCTCACATGTGATGCATGTAAAAAAAAGGGGCAGGCTTTGAGCATGCCATCAAGGCTGCCATCTTGATGTTTTTGGCCTTCCCTGGTCCTCCTGCATCCAAGGAGACCTCAAGGGAGCTTTTTCTCCCAAACTTTGAGCTGCCCAATAAAACAAGCACTTTAAGCTAATTTCGTTATTCTCATCTAGCTGGATGGCAAAGAAATTGCTTTTGATTTTGTTATTCAAAGACACCCCCCCAAAAATCTATTAAATTCTTAGGGGGTCAAGCAGTGTGTATGAGCATCCTGTCTTTCACTGTACAATCTCCTCTCTGCGGCCTGCAGCTTCCCTGGCTTCTTCTCCTTCCCTTCAATCCCAAAGGAAAACTTCAGCAATGTTTGGGGATCCAGAAGCATGGCTAGTCAGAGACGTTTCAAAGCAAGGGACAGATGTAGAAAACGTCCACAGAAGCACTCTCACCCATCTTCAACAATACAATGCTCCAAACAGTAAAAGTAATACAAACAAAATTTGCAAACACCCCCCCCCCAGAAGAAAACAGATATTCCTTTTGCAGTGGAAATAACAATACAATGCTCCAAACAGTAAAAGTAATACAAACAAAATTTGCAAACACCCCCCCCCCAGAAGAAAACAGATATTCCTTTTGCAGTGGAAATAACAATACAATGCTCCAAACAGTAAAAGTAATACAAACAAAATTTGCAAACACCCCCCCCCCAGAAGAAAACAGATATTCCTTTTGCAGTGGAAATATTTCTACTTCTTTACAATGTGGGAAAATAATTGCATAAACCATGCTTAGAGCTCTCTTTTAAAAATCTGAGTGGCCAAAAGCTTGAAGAATATGCTGCTAATGGCCCTTCTTCTCAGGTCAACAGTTACACTTTCTATCAGGGCCAGATTAAGGCCAACTGGTGCTCTAAGCACAGCCCAAGAAGGGTGCCCCTCGAGGGACGCGAAACTCGCGTGCCATGAGACGGAAACAAATGTGACATCTGGTGACACCTGCAAAGCAAGCTTTTCAACTGTGTCAAGGAAAACTTTTTTTTTCTTTTAACAATGCAGATTGAAGTAGAACACAGCAGATAAGAACAATTGCAAAGGAAAAAAAATCAATTAAAGTTGAGCGTGGCAGTGGAACAGTGAAGGGCATGACAGCTAGGGGGGAAAACTCTGTGGTGCCCCCTTCCTTTGGGACCCTAAGCACGGGCTCATTTTGAATGGTTAATCCAGGGCTGCTTTCTCTCACTTATCTATAAAATCGACCACAGGGAAAGCATGGAGAGCGATTGCCTTGAACCATCCTGCAAAGGCCCTCTGGAACATTCTCTCACTGTTTTCCCACCCACCCGAGTGGTCATCTGCTCTGAACTGGACAGGAACCCTGCCACACACAGGCAGCCGATGCTCTCTACCTGTCTCTCAGAAAGTCTCAGGTTTGCAGCAAGTTCAGACTTCCTTCGGATGGTAATATATCTGTTGTAATGAAACTCCTTCTCCAGTTCTAATCTCTGATGATCTGTGTAGACCACACGGTACTTCTCTCTTGTTCTTGTTTTACCTGTTGAAAAAGAAGGAAATCAACGTTTTGCATTTGCTCCTGGAACCTTGGGCCTGTCTAATCTGCAAAGGCCCTCTGGAATATTCTGTCATTTTGCAAAGCCAAATAAATGACATCAGCAAAATTGGAGTTCATTGATAAAGTTAGAGTCAGACTGGAGTCATAGACTTTTGGGCTTCCACCTCTCAACAGGACATGCCAACAAGCTCTGTGGTTAAGTTTGCAAAAGAGTTGAAACAGGAAGATCTTGGTTTGAAAATGTGTTATGTTATTATGGGATGTTAGTTATTAAGTACACATGCTCAACTATGTGACCAATCATGTAACCTCTGATTATGATGCTGTTTTTGAAAAGGTATAAAAGATTTCTGCTTTCTATGTTTGGGGCTCTCTTCTTGGGAAGCAGTCCTCAATTACTAAGGTGCCTTAATAAATGAGTAAATGAGTTTCTCCAGTCCAGTCTTTTCATTGGATTAAAGGGCTAGGCTGAAACCACGATTTGTGGCCAACATAAAGAAGACACACATATGCTGGGAAATACTAGCATACCCACTTTTGCTTAGCCTGTTTTCCAAGCAGAACTATAAATAATACTATTTACATAGCATCTCTGGTCTAATTTTTAGACTTCCAAAATGATTTGGAAGACGTACTTCAGACTTTGTGTGAAGCCAGGTATTCATGAGAGCAGTCCTTCTGGTTTAGGCTTCTGTGCAAGCTTGCAAAAACATGGGGCTGATTTAAAATTAGCATCCATTGAACGAGCTGATTCCTTAAAACACTGGCAGCCACTTTCCAGGCCCATGCAGAACTCTGAGAAAAGTCAGGCTGCTTTAAGAAATAGCAGAGAGATGCTACGGTTGCATGATAATCAAATTCTTGTCAATCATTTTCAAAGTGTGCACATGATCACATTGGCTGGATCAGGGACGAAAAGGCATATTCAAGCATACTTTGGCTTGTTCTACACACATCCTTACCCATAACGTCTAAAACAGTTAAAAGCTTGCCAAAACATTTGCTAGTTCACCTCACTTTAGGTTGAATTCCTACTGTGGTGGGCTTCTGCAGACAAGAAAGTAGTAGGGTGTGGCCAACAGCAATTTTCACAAGGGCAGCAGAATTTGGGTGGGCAGTCATTTTGGGTTGGAAATATGTGGTGGTAACTAGCCATAAATGGATCTGTTCCTGGCCTGCAAATGTGTTGTTTTCCACAATACTTTAATGGCACCCCTGCTTCTTGACTTAACGGTAGCCTTTCTCAGACTGGTAATCTTCACCTAAAAATATGTAATACATTAGACCACATCTCCAACATATCCAGCCAGTACGGTGTCTGGGAACAAATGGAGATAATTCAAAACACCTGAAGGGTCCACCTAAAAATATGTAATGCAACAAACCACAACAGGCTAGGTGACCTAAATCCATTTGGGCACTCATTAAACTTGCCAGACCCTCTGAATCTTCATAGGAATGATGCTTGTGCTCCTGAGATTTCCCTTGCTGAGGTCAACCTTCCATCTTTTTTTTTTTTAAAGGGCAAGTTACTGTCAAACTGAGCTTGGCTCTGATGACTTGATAGAAATACCTGTGTATTCTTCTTGGCAATAATAGGAAAGTCACTTGTTATTGTCTTCTTCCAGATTTTTTAAAACTTCTCCATTAGGCTATAAACCTAGGATTTTCTAGTGATCTCTCATCCTGTTTAGCTTTTTGAAGTCAAACAGTATGGCCTTGGGAATGAGAAGGGAATTCTTCTCCTTAGAACAGTGTTTTTCAACCTCAGCCACTTTCCAAATTCTGGGAGTTGAAGTCCACACATTTTAAAATTGCTAAGGTTGAGAAACACTGCCTTAGAAGGATTGCCATACCTTGCTGCAATGTAACTATTGGACTTTCTTTTCATGCTTGTTGGAGTTGTCCATTGGAAGAGTGATTTAGCCAATCAGAGACCAAATGGTAAATATTATTAGTGGAGGGAAGATAACGTCATTAGTTGCTCAAAGAACTTGGCAAAATTTCCTGCCTTTTGAAAATGAGAATAGACGTGAACCTTCATTTGAAGGACTGCATTGATAGGATTTTGGTTCCTATGTCAAAATTACAGACATCTTTTGGAAAGAGAAACATGCTTTTAGTATTTTACCTTTGGGGAAAATGACTGAACCAATAATATCTTAAGGACTTAATTTTGGTTTCAGTAATTTTCACAAACTAGACACAGATGATCTGCCACTAAGATAGTCTTATTCTACTTCTCTCCACCAGACAGGCATCTGGTGGAAGCCATGATGATATCATGAATATCATGACAACATTGCACCAATGACATGAATTATGTCATTTGTGTGATTATGTGACTATTACCCTGAATCAGGGACATTCAGACCTCCAGAGGTAGTAGAACTTCAACTTTTAAAGTCCCAGCTGGCTGGAAATTTGCAGAAAATGCCAGGAGGAATGCTCTAATTTTGAATCCTATGATCTATATTCCCTATACCTGGCACATTTCAGAGAATGTGGCTGGAATTCCCCCCAAAAGATATAACTGAAGGAACAGAATTTTTACTCCAAAAAAAGGAACAGGCTCACAGTTCTCACTGAAGAATTATGAATTTTCCAAAAGTCTGTCTTGCAATTGTTTGCATTTTTTAAAGAAAGCCTTATGTTTTAGAAAAAAGATTACCTAAACAATTTCTCTTAGAAGCTATTATTAACGCTAAAATCTTCCATCATCTGTGCCATGGACTGTATGACAACTCATCACGTTAAATTTTTGCTATTTAGAACAGTTACAATCAGGGACTCAGCAATTAAGCATGTGGCCGCTTCACAATTTGCTAAGTAACAAGTCAGATTTCAAAGGGGTTGACTTGCTGCTTTTCAAACGACACGCGATTATATTCCCTAACACTTCACCCATGAAGTGGATCGACATCCTTGATTTTTCTCCTTTCCTCTCTTAAAGTTCTTCATTTTAAAAGCAGATGAACCCGGCAGCCTTTTGAAATAGAGGCTGTGAAACACAATAGGAGGATATATTAATGCTTAAAAAAAAAGACTTTTTTAAAAAAAATGAGATGCTAGAAGTAAGTAGGAGAGGAGAGGGGGTGCCCTGGGCTGGAATGTGTAATTGGGACATGCCAAAGGGATGGTGGAAGATCCATTTAAAGGGGTCCTTTGTAATCTGTGAGAATCAGGTTGTTGAGTCCGAACAAAACAACTCACCAGGTGTTTTAAAACCAGGACCTGTTTTTAGGGATACTCAAGTTATTCTAGCAGTCTGAGGCTCTGCCCTGCTCTTGGGGGAGGGGCAGGGGGGGGCGAGAGCAGGTTTCCCCTTGGCCATAAAATTCACAGAGCATTTTTTCGGAACACAATAAAAGCCAGGAGAGAGGCCTCTTTATTTGCTGTGAAAATCATCAGTCTTTCCGGCAATATAACTGCTAAAGAAGAGGAGCAGAAGCCAGGATACATATCAAAGCCCCCCCCCCTCCAAAGTGTCAAAAGAAGGTCTGTTGCTTGATATGGCAAATCAGCCTCTGGACTCAAGACAATGGAATCAAGGGACAAGGCGGAGCAGGATGAGGATCCTAGACCTCACAACTAGTTTATAAAGAAAATAAATTAGCATCCAAATTGCCCCTGGTTTTCCCTGTCTTCTCTGCTTGGGCATAGCTTCTGTTTTACATCAGCCAACATCTTCCTGGTCACAGGAATTTGTGAATTTGTCCATGTCTGCAAATTCAGCAGGACAATAAAGTAAGCCGGGTTGCCTTCCCGTTTGGGAATTCAGCTCAGTTCCAGCTCTACCCAGGCAAAGGAGCTTCAAAGGATCAGAGGAGAGACTCCAACAGTCTTCCCCAGTCTGGCGTCCTCCAGGTGGGCTCCACCAGGATGAGGGAGAAGATTTTTATCTCAGCCTCTCTGGAGAACCCCAAGTGGAAAGACGAAGCCAAATGAGGCAGGGTCTTGAAGGCAACTGGGGATGAGGGGCATTGTGGTCCTAACATCTGGAGAGTGCTAAATTGGGTGAGGCTAAGCTAGACAAGTTTTTGAAAGGAACTGAGAATTTTAAATTGTACCTCCAGAAGGTACAATTTTTAAGAAGGCTGTTTGGGCATCATGCATCCATCTCTTAGTCAACATTGATAAAACAATTACGCTGGAAATATTCAAATCTAGCTATGCTTTCTTCTAACCTCCTACCCCAGTTGTGGTCTAGGCTTCATGTCTTTTATCTTTATTCTCCTGGAACAAAGTTACATACATGGGACTCAACATCTTTGCTTCATATCTGGATCTCCTGAATCCTTTCCTCAGTTGATTATTCTCAACATTTTTGATGGGTATCTATCCTGAAAGTGCAGCGCTGTTTTGCATGTGCCATTTCTTAAAGCATCATATGCAATTGTGATGTTAAGTTAAATAATAAACTGGATGTTTTATCTCTTTATTGCTAAGTTGAGGTAACATGCTCATGGGGTACCAACTCCATTCCAATCCATAGAAGCAATGTGAGAGGAGGTGCCCTGGAGAATTTGGCCTTGGTGTGGTATCTGTGTTTTAAAAGCATGGTCCATGGAAGTTTCTATTGCCTCATCTAGCAGCTGCTATGCTGTTGACTAATAGAGCAAAATGGAAATGTGTTGCCTGTTGAACAATGCCACTGGTTGTCCATCTGTTGCCAAGAGCAACCAGAAAGGCAGTGTGGTGAAGATGCTGGTCCAGTTCTGAGTGGAGACTTCCACCCTCAACCCCGAGAACTCACTGGATGACTTTTGAGCAAGTCAGCCCAAAATGCCTCTCAGAATTGTTGTTGGGGGATAGAAATAAAGAGAGATTCCCTTATAAGCCACCTTGAACTACTGGAGGAAAAGCAGAGTAGAAATGTAAGAAAGAAATGGACGCAGACTTGTATGGAAGGGTCTCCCAGGTTTCTCAAGGATGGCCCATTTCTCCCTGTCTGAAACTGGACATCTTCTTCAAAGGGACTT